CGCACTCATGATCGCGCCCGGCGTGGCACAACCAGAGAGCCCCAGGGGTCATCGCGCTCGGTGCAATTCCTATTGTGCCCGGCGTGATAGGAGGCAGAGACCACACCAGGTCTCATACGCCCGGTGTGCAAACCCGCACTCTGATACCACTAAAGTGTAACGACCTGACTGGTCACTACACACAACATAGTACACCAGAATACTACACAGAAACGAACAAGTATATACATATTGGATCTAGAATATATATATATATACATATATATATATATATATATATATATATATATATATATATATATACAAGGACCAAATCCGTCTAGAATCAGGGTGTACAAAAAAAACATCAAGCGAGTGCTAACTAAGTAGCTAAATACATCAAAAGAATAAAACTTCATCTGCCAGCTGCAGACCTTCTTCAGCAAGACACCAACCTAACTCTGCCCTGCTCCCATACACAGTATGATCATCGCAGTTCAAATCACATGGAAACAACAAAGGGTAAGCTAGTCAAAAGAATCAGAATACGTATGTGAAATATGAAGGATAAGCAACTACAGCTATCAGCACACCAACCAGCTTAACAATATCAGCTTAGCATATCACAGCATTCAGCAATAACAACACCGACATAGCGGCTATAACAGTACCACAATAGGGGCTAATAACAGCACCGGCATAGCGGCTATAACAGCACCACAATAGTGGCTAATCACAGCACCGACATAGCAACTATAATACCACAATAATGGCTAATAACAACATCGACATAACAGTTATAACAGCACCACAATAGTGGCTAATAACAGCACCGACATAGCGACAATAGTACCACAATAGTGGCTAATAACAACACCGGCATAACGGCTATAACAACACCGACATAACGGCTATAACAGCACCACAATAGTGGCTAAAAAAACCACCGACATAGCGACCATAGTACCACAATAGTGGCTAATAACAACCCCGGCATACCGGCTATAACAACACCGACATAACGGCTATAACAGCACCACAATAGTGGCTAATAACAACATACATCTCAGCACAATACAACAATATCAACATCTAGCACAACAATGTACATCAAATACAACTTTAAATTAGCATAAACAACATTCGGCATAGCTCAACTCATCGTCTAACAACATTTATTAGCAAATTTCAACCCATAAGACATCATCTTATCCGTGCCCGGTGCACTCATGATCGCGCCCAGCGTGGCACAACCAGAGAGCCCCAGGGGTCATCGCGCCCGGCGCAATTCCTATTGCACCCAGCGTGATAGGAGGCAGAGACCTCACCAGGTCTCATATGCCCGGCGTGCAAACCTGCGCTCGGCGCAAGGTGAGCAGAGACCTTCCCAGGGTCTCACGCCCGACGCAATATAAATTGCCGCCACCTCTGGCAGAGACTCCCAAGGAGTCTCTATGCCCGGCGAGACAAGGTCACGCCCAGCGCCACATCAGAAACCAAAAAGAGTGGGTCACTGACTGATAGCGCACCCAGCGTGGTCCAACCACGCCTGGCGTGAGCCATCCAGGGGCATCCATTTTCAAGCTCGCCCGGCGTGCTTGATCAATGGAGCCCTCTGATGGTCACACGCCCGGCGCCAAGAACTGCGCCCGGCGTGCTCTCAATCAGAAACTCTTCAACTTCGAAAATTTGCTAAAAAACCTGCAAAAATCAACAGAAATTCCACATGCAAACGGTCCAAAGTACCACATTTTCAACCAACAACTCAAAAATACCAGCTTTTTCAACATGCATCCATCAATCATCAAAAACCCCAAATTTTTCATCAATCCCCGGAACGGAACAGTTTATTTGTTCAATAAAGAAAGGAATTATCTATGCATTATATAATTTCTGCATTACAGATAATCAAGGAGTATCTCTCCTCACAAAAGCCTCTCCTTCAGGAAAAGGTTATACAAACTTTGTCCTTTTATCAGGACCATACAAAGGGGTCTATACTAATTTTACCGACTTGTGCACTGCCAAGGAGGGAATACAGAATCCCAGATACAAAGGCTTCTATTCAAAAGAAGAAGTTGATAAGGCTCTCGAGCTAGATACAATTGATATGACAAAGATAAAAAAGGCTTTGAATCCTGAGCCCGAAATAAATGTCATACGAACAAGCCAGACAAATAGACAATCTTCTTTTTCAGAAACTGTTAAACAAATGCCGAGTTCTTCTAATGAACTCAGTTTGAAAAAATTCATTGTGATTCAATTTTTTTTGATGAAAATCCATCTTGTTGATTCACAAGTAGTTCCTGGCATTTATGTTTCTTCACATACTTATTTCAACCAAAAATTTGTATGTCTTGAAGAATCTCCTTTATGCAAGGACATAACAAATGGGAAGTGTCCCTGCAAAATCAAATTTTTGTTTAGAAAAGCGAAAAATTGATTTGGAAAATTTCAAAGGCACTTCTTATGAAGGTTTAGATATAAACCTAAAAACATTTTTAGAATATGGTTGCTTGGACTCTGTCTTAATCCATCCAACTGAAAAATTTAATGGTTTCAGCCCTTCAATAAATGAAGCCATTAGTACAATACAAGCTATTTTTATGTGCCACATGGCCTTAAAAATAGTTACCTGTCCTAGCAATTTTAGACAAAACCAATGTCCTACACATGTCATGAAATTGTTATTGGAAAACCACAAAGATTATCCAGGAGTTTTGTATAACAATGGATATGATTCTTGGGAAGTTCTTGGTAACACGGACTACCAATACAATCTGTTCAGAGCACAAATAATGGGGTACCAATGGTTTTTCTCAAAAGAAGATGAAACCAATTTCAACCTCATCAAGGAGGCTCATGATACAAAACTTTATCTTCCTTCGGAGAATGGAAAGATTTTTGTTCCCTTCCCTATGGAAAATAACAACAAACTTGTCCAATTTTTCCAAAAAGAGAAATTCTACAAGGAAATTTATGAGGCAAGTGGAGGATTTGGACAACAAACTCCCACAGACAACCAATCCATGGCAGGCTCATCAGACATCCAGGTCACTGAAGAAGATGAAGAAGTCATGCTTTCAAAATAAAGGATTAGATGACGCACATGCTTACGTTTTCTAAGCCAGCTGACAAAGAGATAAGATTCCTAGAGATAGATCTTATCTACAAATGTATTATAGTTTTTCTACCCTGGGACAGAGTAAAAGAATAGTACTTACTATTCTTGACTGAAGGGGTAGTCCAGTCTTTTTAGTTTATTTTTAGTCTATAAAAGGAAGTAGCTCTCTCATTGTAAGAGAGACTCGAAAAATATCAAGAAACTAGTGAGAGAAACTATCCTCTGAAGTTGTTCTTCCTTTCTTCTCCCCTATTGTAATTTTTCTTCTATCAAAAAGACTTTGTAAGTATTTCTTGTATAATGGCTGGCTAAACTCTTTCTTGGTAGTTTTTAGAATGCCGTAGTTATTTCTTTTAACACATGCGAATATAATTTAGAATATTGGAGCTTTATGGAAAAGAAAATTTGGTTTACGAAAACCTGGGATTCGTAAGCCTGAATCTTCAGGTGTGCCCTTGATAATTGTTTTGGGAAAAGATAGTTAGGTTGCAGGTAGAACTGAGGCAGTTGTAAGACCCAAAGGAGTGGGCTGAAGTAAGACCTCTAAGTTGCCAGAAGATGCAAGTAAACTATTTTCCCTTATCATAAAATCCCCATTATCTTTTCAAATAAGAGGTCCAGGTTTTTCATTATATTTTATACTGTGTTAAAGGTTATAACTCATTGTGTATTTCTAAAAACTATCATACTTATCTCTCTGTCTTCCGCTTCAGCATTATCTACTCTGATTTTACATATTTTGGTATAAAATCCCTAACTAGGAGGCTCTGCCACCTTTACTGGGGTATTGTATTTTATTTTCATATAGGAATGGGCATGTTTTGATTTACTTATGTGAACATTCCTTTCCCCATATTCATATAAAATTTTACGTACATTCATTTTCGTATTCTGTACCAGTTATTTCTAGTTTTTATCCATTATAAAAAAAAAAAAAACTATCATATAGAGAATGACCAACAATTGTATCATTTACCTAATGTTAGATCATGATCTACGTGATAATATTACAATTCTAATGACTAACAGATGATCATTTAGTAAAAAGATTAAAATTATATATTTTATAAAATTTAAGATTGACTAAACATGTGGATTTAATATGATAAAGAAATCACAATTTATTTTTTATATTTATATTACACAATTTATATTGTTATAAAAAAATTTAATCACTGATAATTTTTAATAAAACACACAATATATAAATATATATTAAATTCTTTAAAAACAAAAATAATAAAATGAAAGTAATAAGAAATTGGAAAATTTTCTTAAAAAAATACTATCGTCGAGAAAAAAAAAAACATTTAAAAAACGTCCTTCTTGAAGTAAACTTCTAAAAAAATTTGTTGTAATTTATATATATATAAAGAGTGAGAAGATAGTTAAATAAAAGAGGGATAAAAAAGTAATTTAATGTTGAAAGAATTAAAGAAAGTAAAAGTGAGCATGTTTATTTTAAGAAACACGTGATTTGAGATAAAAGAAATGGTTATATGAAGAAATTGAGCCGTCCCAATGTGCCAACCCCCAACACCAGAGAAATTCACAAACACAGGTCAAACGTTGGAAACTCATATTTTACAGTTACAGCAGCCCAAATACAATACTCCCACATGCCAACCTAAGCCCTACCCTCTCCTTCTACGGCTTGCTGCCGCGTCTTCATCTGTTTTTTTTCTTTTCGCAACAACATTCATCAACAAACGCATTCATAAAATTCAGATAAAGCTTTTACATACTTGCAATATATACCTATAGCAAATCCTTTGCATAAATATTTACACAACATTACAAGATTTTTAATTCTAAGCCAAAACAAATAAATAAATTGAGCTAATTAAGGCATCCTTAATGCTGATAAAAAAAACTAATTAACACACTAATCACTTAATTAAGATGCCAAACAAGCTTCCCAAAACAGCTTGTTCTTTTCCATCTCATCCACAAACTCCTGCCTGGAATCAAAAGACACGTGGGACTTCATCTGTTCTTCTTGCATCTCATCATCATCATCACAATACGACATTCCATAAACTTCGCTTTTCTTCTCATCATCTTCATGTTCTTCATCACAATATGAGTCACCCTCATCCTCATCCTCATCCTCATCCTCATCCAATTCAGCAGCGGATCCATCGTAGTTGCATGATAGAGCATCATCGTTATCATCATGATAGCCAGCAACTGCCATGGATATGTCACAAGTGTAGCCACCCATGATGGGAGGGTCACAATCATCTTGTTCAGAGTCACCAGAGGCTTCAAAATAAAAGTAGGAAGAAAAATCCAGAGGCTGCTTCCTCTCCATGGAGCTTGAAAGTTGAAGGCTTCTTCTTAGTTTCTATGTTTGATGTGTGTGTGTGTGTGAGAGGATCCTAAAAACTAAAAGCAATGGTCTTGTAAACAAGAAGAAAACGTGGGCTCTCTTGTATGACACTTTGGGTGACAGAGACTGCCCAATATTACAAATGTATGCCTCTCCCAAATGGGACTTGTCATTATTAAAAACCAAGGACACGCCTCAGCCCTCAAATAACTTTCTGCTCATACTCTCTCTTCTTTTTTATTTAATATATATATAAGGATGAATTAATTCACCTTAATGTTTTAAACTAATGAAATTGTTTTTTAATTTTATACCCTAAATCAATATGCTTTTTCTTACCTACGTATTTGTAAAATTTGAATATCTAATTACGCATTTAAACAACATAATTATTGGCAGAATAATTATTGTAAATGATGTTAATTAGTTGCTGTGATGGTCTTCTAGAAGCTGCAAGCCGCATGCCGAAAAGCAATAGCAGCCGATAAGGATTTGTACCCACGCTCTTCTAGAACAAATGAAGACTACACAATGATTTAACGTCAAAGGAGAGGACTCTTATCTTAATTCTATCATGCAAATCTCATTTAATTTGGTCCTAATATTCTAGAACCTCAACCTGCTTTTAACTTCTGCTGTGTCCTAACAATGCCACCTAATAGTATATTTTAAGTATTTTAACATGAAACTAAATTAACATGAAGTGATTTTAAAAAAAAATGTAATAAGTGCCAATTAATTCATGGCTCACAAGCTGTATATATCTACATTTGACTTTCTCCATAATTTCGTGCATTTGTTTCCAGGCACTGATGAAGCCAATTGTCCTAGTAAGAATCGAAAAATTTGGCATGGTTAATTTTTGATTGGAGGAAAATAAAAATTGCTTTAAATGTAACTAGTTATGGGATATTACGTTGATTGTATGACATGTACAAGTTTGCGTAATTCCGTGTTGGATATTGCGAGTGTAAAGCAAAGTTATGGGCTGCAAGAAACGTAGAAAAACGTTGGGCTACTTCTTTTAGGGCCTTTTTGACTTTTTTTCGTATTGCTTCATCATTAAAGCCAAGAATCCAACACGATGAAGGAAAGCCGAAAGCATAAAGAAAGAGAAAGGTAAAACAGCAAGTAATGAACCAACCAATAGCCAAGTAGTAAAGACGAAAGTGATAACAGAGAAAGATAAGTGGGGAAAATGGTAAAACACATACATAGTTTTTCCAATTATTTGAATTGATTGAAATTTGAAAGAAATAAAAGAGAACAAGTTAAGTCATCTCTTTGCATATTTGATAAACCAAAAAGTCATCTATAAGAACATAATAGTATTTTAATTAGTTTATAAGAAACATAATTATCTCTTTATATTGGAAACGCACTCATTTTTTAATATCTTTTTAATTCTAAAATAAGTGTATTACTTATATTTTATAACAAACAGTTCTAGTCCAAATGATACTGGACTCAATTCTTTAAGTAAAATATCATGTTGAGAATAGAAAAAATGTGGTTATAAAAAAAACTCTTTTAAAAATTGTTAATCACCAAATTTTTTGATAAAGATTAGTGTTAATAAATACTTCATACCAATAATATTATATTAGTATTAATTCCTAATGTTGGGAAACTCATCATCTTTATTATAATATTTTCTCACAATCACATTTTTTCATACACGAAATTTGAACTTAAGATCTTATAATTTTAAGAAAATTAAATCTAATATCACTCAAATCAACAACTTATTAAATATAAAAGAGAGAAATAGAAGTAGTAATCCATAGGTTTTATATTTTTAAATAAAGGTCAAATATGATGAAGTACTCAAAAGGTGTTTTATAAGGAATAGAATTCTAATATATGAGGAATAGAATTCTAATAGATGAAGAATAGAATTCTTGTATTAGGAAAGGATGAAAATCTCGTGATAAAAAAAATAGAATTTTGTTAACGACTATTTAAGGAAAGTAATTAAAATTCAATAAATATTTTTTAATTCAAAAGTATGGTAAGAATATGTTGTTATTATGAAATGTTACATTTTTATGAAGATAATGTGACATGATTAATCTCATTATTTAAGCATATAGTATCTTATTTGATCTGAAAGTATAAAGAGAAAAAAAAAATTTGTTAGAATAGGGAAAGATAAAATTCTTTACTG